AGACAAAACTGTTCAAGTATTTATCATTATCTTTCCTTCTTTTGTGCTATACATTTTGTGATTCGTATTCTTGCTTTCAGATTATAGCATTCCTTTCTGGTGTGCAGTCTATCAAAGGTGATCATGGATATGCTCTCACTGCACTAATCGTAATACATGTGAGTCTCTTAATCACATGGTAAAATGAAATAAATCGTTGGACTCCCCAACTTCGCTTTTTCGTATTTCACGATATTGACCGTCGTGAAAGAATGCGTGGGCTGGCGAAATTTCAGGAATATAGGGAATTTTGCTTACAACTTATGGGACTTTAATCACAGCCTGGCAGGACATCTCAACTGACTTTAATCGGTCTGGGAACTTTTTTCACAATGCTCGACAAAGATTATCAGAAGACGATCTTAACAAGGAAGATATTTACACTTGGGACTATATAATACTTGATGAAGCTCACAAAGAAAAAACCCTTCTTCGAAGACAACTAAGGCATTGCGGTCGATTCCTGGTACTAAGCGCATTCTTTTAACAGGTACAGCCGTGCAAAATAATCTTGGCGAATTGTGCACATTGTATGATTTTGTTTTTTCTGGACGCTTGCTTGGGACGCAGAAAACATTTCAGTTAGAACATGAAAAACTAATTTAACGAGCTAGGCAAAGAGATGCTTCAGCAGCCGAACGAGCCCATGGCTCATTGATGGCGAAGAGCTTGCGCCGACTTATCGAATCCTATTTCTTACGTAGAACGAAAAATCAAATCTCACAAATTCGTGATCTGTCTGGTTCGGACCCCTTAACTACGTCAGGGGGGAAAAAGTTTCAGAAATTGCCCAGGAAGAATGAGTTTGTGATATGGATATATCTTACACAACTTCAGCCAAAGCTCTATCTCGACTTTTTGCAATCAGATCGCATTCGAGAGCTTTTGCTACCGGGCACCAAGCGCTCTTCACTCATTGAACTAGTTATTCTCAAAAGGCTTTGCGATCACCCCAGACTCTTGTCTCCCCGTCAATGTGCCAACTTAGACCTAGATTCTCAAGAAAACTATTCTCCGGAAAATTGTATAGACGAATTTAAATTGAGCGCTCTTCCTCCTGCGAATCAATTGCTTGCTGAATTTAATAAGCTCGCTTTCCTTGTATGTCTTCTGGAAAGCTTTATCAGAGATTCTAATGAATCAGATGCTTCACTCAATCGTACTCTTATATCTTCTCAAAGTCTACGACTTTTGGATATTATTGAGATTGTACTCAATTATCGAAACACTATCCTTAGGTCTATTGGATCACGTATTCTTCACAAGGTTGCTAGACTCGATGGGCGTCTCACTAAGCCGGCTGAGCGGCATGAGGTGATTAACACCTCTAAAGATCAATCATATACCACGATGCTGCTAACCTCATAGGTAATTAAAGGCCTATTATTATTTTCATGTGGATGGATCTTTGTGGGTGTGGTTTGCTTAAATGCTATCGCTGTATCTGGGAGCTTT